CATTTCAGCATCTTCGCCTACATATAAAACTTCATACCACTCGTTTAGTCCAATGATTATGACTACGATTGCTCCACAATGACCAGTCAGCAAGCAGTCAAGAAAATAATGGGAAACCTTGTTCACAGAAATACCAACACCAACACCCTGTATGAATATTTCTGAAAACATTAACTGGAAAAGGTCATGGCTTTTACCAAGAAAATCCCTACTAACCAACAAACGAGAATGGCGACTTTCCAAATTATTCATAACTGTTGCTGTGAAAGTGTTGTTCAACCAGAAATTAAAAAGATGGGAATGGACAACTTGTGCATGTTTTGTAGAAACTATAGTGACACAGTGATGCATCTTTCCTGGAACTGGAGGGTTTTTTTGTTTGTTTTTTTTATATGCCCTCAGTAAACATTTTCCCCGATGCATTTAAGAACTAAATTACTGAACTGCTAGTTTCTGGTATTACTGAATAAAATTCCCAAGGCATTTTTTACATTATGGTCATCAGGAGTCAGAAAGGAAGTTTCAAAACACCAGGATGGTGACAAAAACAGGCAGCTTGAAGTCTCACCAGACTTCACTAACCAACTGGTAATTTGCCATCTTTTATGCTATCTGTGGAACCAACAAGCTGAAGTCCAGTGCTGCCACATCTGTACTTTATATTTACTCTTGTACATCGAGTGTAGATTAAGCAAAGACTAAGATAAAGCAAAGAAATAACTATGTGGAATTATATGTCTGGCAAAGCAAGAGGTAAAAGAAGTGAAGACGTGTCACATCCAAGTGCAGCCTGAGGGAGTGGTTTGGTATGAGGAAACACGTCGTGCCTTTCACTCATTTGAAATCAATTAGTCTTCAAATTTCAAAGGCAGAGCCGAAGGACCCACAGTGAGCAAGCTTCAGTTTGGCATTAAAATCAATACAGAAACATCATCAGGACTGAAATAAAGACAGAGTGAGGATCGACGGGCCGTTGGCATAAAGGATATAGAGGGCAATCGATGCACAGCAGACAAAGACTATGGATCAAAGTAGCCCTGGTCTGACGGATGTAATTTGGGACCAAATCAAACCAACGGGCCTCTATTTTGTTTTGTTGCTGTAGCCAACGTGATCAATTAACCAATAATATTCAGTTGGAGATACGGAATAGAGAAAAATGCTTTCCCTTTCACCCTTAGTGAATGTTTGAGGGGTGCATACGTAAACCCGGTGCACCAAAAGCTCAGGTCTCAGGATGCTTCACTGTGGTTTTTTTGTGCGTTTGTTTTTTCTTGGGCTCTGTATGATATTAGTGAGAGTAGATATCCATAACATGGTCATCTAAGCCACGCAACTTTGGCTGTGAAGACATAAGCTCCATCCAGCTGCTGTCAAGACCTTGTTTCCAAAAGGGGGAGCTACAACAGTTAGTTTCAAACAAACAATTAACTGAAGGCCTGCACAAATGCCCACTATGAGGTAAAAAAGAATTAGTCCAACATTAAAAATACGGAGCTGGTAAGCACTTTACTATGTCTTCAGAGGGCTTCCATCCACCTTTGCCAAACAGTTGGCAAACAATTTCTCTTTTATATATATATCCTTATAATACAGTCATAATACACTCAATTATATTTCAGTATCATCTAGAATATGTGTAACAGAAGAAGAAAAATTACCCCTAAGAGGAAGTGGGAATTGTGCTGTTCCATTTTTTTGATAAGCAGCATGATGAGGAGGAATGAAGTAGTGATTTAGGTATGTACTACTAGCAGGGATCTGTCATGGCCTAGCCTTATTATCCACCCTTATTTCTGATCAATGTGGTTCAAAAAGGAAATAAAATGTAACTATAGATAGTTTGTTTTTTAAATGTTACTCTATATGCATGTAAATCACTAGTTTGATGAGCAAAATAATATATTACAGTGACTGCTGACTCCCAAAATAAAATACCTACAGTCATCTATTCCCATCAGTCTCATGGCTCATCCACCACCTAGTGTTCCTGCTTCATCTGACTCAGTGAACTCTTTTCCACTGTGCCTGATGAGTCACGAGTTTACTCTTGTTACACCTCTCCACCGTTCTCTCGCTTTCCCTGCCTCCCTCGGTTTCTTTATCATTATTAAAGGCACGCAGGCACACGGGGGAGAAACAGACTTTCTCTGGCAGCGCCGTATTTCTAGAGCATTCTTTGCAAAGTCAGCGGCTCGACAGTCTCCTCTGCAGGGCCTCCCGATATTCTTGCAGTTTGTCAGTTAAGTGAGATCTACTGATCACATGCACGCAGTGTAACGAAACAGGCGGAGATCTCATTTGAACTGATACAGAAACGTAGATCAGACTGTATTCTGACCAACAGCACATTCGTGGCCGACCAGAAGCCACGACCGACACTCTGGGAATCACTGCGACAGGTTTTGAGTCAGTCTAACAAGCCTTTGTTATAAAACTAAACAAATTAGGGCAATTTTATTGCATTAGTAGAAAATTTGATATAGCATAACTACTATAACTACTACACTGACAGGGACATGCTGTAAATGAAGTGAGGCCCATTGCAAGACAATTGAACTATTCAAATTATCATCGCAGCTTTCTAGCAAATTCTTTTTTTCCCTGGTGTAATACTTAAAGAAATGAAAGTGTTTAAATAGGAGAAAGCAGATTAAAACATAAACAGGAAGCCACCAGGTTGTGACAATACCATAGCATAGTAGATGTACAGGCTGCACCTTAAGTTCTGATGGCTAAACAGTGATGGCTTTAGCAGCAGCATCAACACGTTTTACCAACTATGACGGCTTTAGCAGAGGACAGAGGTAGTCTAGTTACAATGTAAATCTGTGTTTTCTTATAATCCTGTACCATTATGTGATGTATAGTCTCCCAGCACAGGCAAAAAGTACTCAGAGCCATTAAATATAAAAAAGTGGAAGGGTGATAAACAGAGGGCTGTGGACAGAATGTTCTCACACACTAATAGAAACCTCGCTGCTGCTGATGTGTAAAGCGAAAACCATCAAATGGCACCTCCTTCAAAAACACTTTTTTCCAGGATCAACTTGGTAAAAATGACAGTCTGTGTCCTCCAAGTCTTCTCGCATTACACTCTAATAAAAGTCATATTTTTTATTTTTTATTCTGTGCCGATCTGAGCGCATCAGGTCACTCATGAATCAACCGTTTCGATCACAGTCACTTCTTAACTGTAAAACTTTTTAATGGTGCTGTACAATAAAACTAAAGTAATAACACAGGATTAAATTATGGCGGAACTTAAAGTCATTAAGACCGCAATAAAAATGTTTATG